CTGTCATTCTGCATCCATTCATGTGGGTTTCTCAGTTCTAAACTTTTAATCTTGTTTTTTTTTTTCTGTTTTCTTCAGAAAATAGTTTCCCAACATCACATAACTTTGATTCTTGATCATTTATCAGCAGTAAGGATTTATTTCTACAAGGACAGATATTTTCTTCTGGGAGAAAAATGTTAAAACTCTCACAATAAAAGGAAGAAGTCACCATTTTAGAAAGAAATTATATTATAATATTTATTAAACTAAACTGTAATAAAGGATTAAAAGTTTGACTAGATTCATGAACACACAAAAAAACACATTAGTTTAATTTATATCTATCTGGTTTATCTTTAAAGTAAGTTATTTAACTAGTTACACTCCATGTTTTTAAAAGGTCAAAGCTACAAATTTTTTATTAAAATTTAAAAGTATTTAAAAATGTAATGCATCCACAGATAGGGGTGTAAATAATAATCGTTCTGTATCAATGCATCGATCCAGCAGCCGACGATCCGATGCATCGATACGTCCACAAGAGAATCGATTCATGTTTTTTTTTCTTCCTCCGGTCTCTTTTTATCCATTTGCTCCTGAAACAACTTTGCTACTTCTGTTATCTGCTGTTGTTTATCAAATAGAAAATGCTTAACGATACTACAGCTTTCATTGATTTATTTCAAATTTGAAACATTGTCTAGCCTGTAAGGTTAAAAAAAATTAACCAATTATTCAAATCGAATCGTCTTGTGTTGTATTTTTGAGAATATAATCCAATTGTTGGGTCAGTAAATTGATACTGAATCGAATCGCCATGATGGGTGTGATTTACACTCCTATCCACAGAAAACTGGCAAAGAAAAAACAAAACACCTTAATTTTACAAAAAATAATTTGATGTATATATATTTTTTTGACGCGTCCAAAATATACATTTCTTCTGGTTACTATGCCAATGAGTTCATGAAAAGATTCTGTTCCAACAGAAGATTCAAGTCATGTAAGAAGTAGATCAGGTGCAGCCAGATCCAAGTAGCTCCAGAGCCCAAAAAAATGGCTTCCTCTCTGCATTACATTTCTCAGATTCAAGCTACATCAATTTAATGAGCCCTAAACAGCCAAAAAAAGGAGCAGCATGTCATGAAGGTTTATTATTTTAAAGCAAGTTTCTAAAACTGAAAAGTAATTTTGAATAAAGTTATAACACAAATCTCTGAGCTCTTTGTAAATGAAACAATAAAAGCAAAACTTTCATTTTTACAGCTGTGTTTAAACAAAAACCTGCTTTGGTAAATGGCTGGAGTACAGCAAAAAGGAGAACAAAAAAGCCTACCTTTATAACTGTTGTTTTACTTAGTTTATTATTCTGACTTCATTATAAGAACTGGGACATTCATTATTCCACTAATCACACCCAAAAAGAGATAAACTTCCCTTTCTTAATTCAAATCAGATATTAGAACAAGCATTGAACTTGCATAAATGAGATTAAATGATATACCGGCGGTCTCAATTAAGGCCAATTTGTTAAACTGGAATTTATTCAAAAGGTATCAGGTTATTTGTATCCTGGCTATATTACATCAAATATTCATTTATAAAGGGTTTAGACAATTACTTTTCACCAAATTTAATTACAATAATTTATATTTACATAAAAATATATAAAATACATCAAACAACATAAAAAGTATTAATGTTAATAGATTTTATAGGTTTTTAATTTGGTCTATGAATTGTGGCACAATAGCACCATCTTGTGGCGCAAAAATGCAACTTGGGAAACATTTAGAAAGAAAAACACAACTTCCTTAAATTAAAAATAGAAGTGACGTCCAACCTTGTGACTAGAAGTTGGGTCATGCTAATGTGATCTAGTTTGAATGAAAACTTAAATCAGAAATCGTATTTGCGTTGTGTATGATTGGAAATTTATCCTTTTTAAGCTTCACTATAAAAGAAATGCCCTACAATGTGAGGTTAACGGCACAAACGTTGCTCCTTCGGATTTACAACTGCTAATAAAAGTTAATAAAGGAAACAGTTATCTTATAACTAATGAATGTTAGGTTTGGTTAAGGTCATGTTTTGACACTCGCAGTGTTCATAAATTTGTCGAACGTGTTTTACGGTAAGTATACGTCACCTGAGCAGGGTCAAAAAGTAGACACGCTTCTGTCAATAACAGCAGCTAACAGGCTAACATTAGCATAATCTCAAAAACAACCGGCGGTCTTACCGAGCGGTTTTGGACTCGGGTGTCTGGAAACAAAGCCACAGCAGCAGCCAAAGAGTGCAGCATTTGAGCCCCTCTGCTGCCATATGGCGTAGAGCTACCCTGTCAAAATAGGCTCTCCTGTTGAAGCCAACATCAGGCTGACAGGAAACAGAAACGGAACTCACGGAGAACACTTCCGGTGACTTTACAAAATAAAAGCCACCTAACAGAAGGCTACACAAATCTGCGTCCCTGACAGAAGTTATACGGAAGAGGGTTAGGGCTAACCTGACAACAGCCACTGCAAAAATAAAAAAAGTTAACTGATTTTGAAATATTATTTCAGTTTAATATGACATAAATACAGAAGAGGATTAGTGCCCTGAAAGAAAAGTTAACTTTTAAGTATAATTTCTGACTTTTTTCT